CATTCCACTTACTGAAACAAAGCCAGCACTCCACATACCCCCATCAAGATTTATAGAAAGACGGCAGCTCTGACAATGCTTTAAGCCCAAAACCCAGCCTGAAAATGGCGAGTGAGACCTTGCTGAAACGTTGCCAAGACAATCTCAATCTTACACGGGAAAAGACCCGAATACAAGACTATATATATATATATAATTAATAATCCATGTAAATGAACATAAAATCACATTTGTAAACTTCTGGTCTATAGTACATGAGTTGAAACAGAATGGAATGCTGGAAGTGCTGTAGAAATTATAAGGAAGTCCAGCTAAATGTAAGTTGTTTATTTTATCAGTGGACACATAGAAAGTTGGTATCCCATTACACTATTTTTGTAAGTAGCTGTTGTGCTACAATATTATGCTTCCCCTTTCTAATAACCTTCTGTAGACTATGAAAGTTTTGGCAGCTTCTCCATCATTTGCCTAATCCATGCTCCTAGACATTAACACGAGTCACTCAATCAGACAGGTCCTATAATAAACAATTATTATGACTTTCTTATCCTTTTAGTGATAGCAGCACTTCCTCTCTGTTTTTCAGGACTGTCACCCTCCAGAGATTGAGAGGCTGTTTCTTCTGTAGGCATTACTGTATTTCTTTGCTGTTGAATATTTCCAATAACTCTTGTTTCTCATTACTCTCTCATCCATGGGCTAGCTGTTTTGTTAATTCTTGTTGTAACATTCAGTTTTATAGGTTAAAAACTAAAGTCCACTTTTCTGTGTGATAACTCTTCAGATATTTGAAAACTACTGTAATATTTCTTGTGAGTCATATTTTGGGGGCTAATCATATCCAGATCCTTTAACACTTTCTCATAGAACTTCATTTTCAGACTCCCCCCATCATCTGGGAGAGGGAATCCTCTGAACTCACTCCAATTGTTGTCTTTTTTAAACTGGTGCTCGGAACTGGGCAAAATACTCCAAATGCGGATGGAGGAAAGTAGAAGGAAACACTTACTTCTAGTGATCTGGGCTTTTTGCTTCTGTTAATGCACCCAAAATAACATTTGCCTTTTTAGCAGCTGCATCACATTACTGGGTCACATTTCATTTTTGTTCAATAAAGATCTACTACCTGTTTCACTTGTACTGTTGGCAAGTTTTTGCCCCGCAACCTATATTTTGCCTTATATTTTTCTTAGTCAGGTGCAGTGTTTTACATTTCTCCCTGTTGAATCCCATTCTATTCAATTTTGCTGAGCCTTCAAGCACATTTAAATCCTTTCAAATCTTTCCTGTTTCATCTAAACTAGTGGGACGCTCCTTGAAGATTTTTATCATCTGCAGCTCTTATAAATTTCCCTCATCCAACTTTACTGGTAAAAATGTTGAACAGTTGATTCCATGGAAACTGACTGGCTGCCTCATATAACTTTGACCATCTCTACTTATTTACAAGGAAATACTGTTGTCACTTGTACAACAGTCAGCAACACAATTCCTGATGGCATTTGGGCTGTTCAGATACATATGTCAAACAATCAATATTATTTGCCCTAAAATGGGTGAAAATAGCATCGGTGGTAGAAATATTTTTTCTTTACAATGAGTTTATATATCCATGTATAGTTCGGACAAAGCAGTAATCTTTTTAACATCCATGAAGCTACTGAAATGAACTTTTCTGAAGAGCATTTGGTGAATTCTTCATTATTGCCATTTCAGTCTATTTCACTTTGAATTGTTTATATTGATTTATTACTATTATTTCATTTGACCTTGATGATTAATTTTATGTATTTATCAATGTCACTTTTATATTTTGTCCTTGCATTTATGTAAGTTTCATTACTTTAAATTACTTACTTTTACCATAGATATTTTAACATTGCAGACCGCGGTAGTCCTTTTTAAAAAAAATGTAAATCACCAAGACTCAATATTGATTTGGTTTTTAATAAATAATATTATGTCCACAATCAAGAAAGATTATCAATATAAATATTTCCTAATATCAGCAAAAATACTTGAATCACCGAATTCTTTCTAAACCATGTTTACAATAAATAAAACACTTTTTTTCTTTCAGGTTTTCTGTTTCATACAGCAAAAACTCCTCATGGATTTTTTTCTGTGAAGAGGATACAAGAATACAGATTGTAAAACTACTGAAAACGCTTAGAAGATATGACAAATCTAAGGTGATATTTTTTAAAAATGATTTCTCATTGTTTGACTCAAAAATGTACTATAATGTGAGAAAGAATCAAAAACGAAATTAATTTGCACTTTGATAAAGCTATGACTCTAATAGATGAGAAAGCAGTTTTCTTCTTATTTAACATGCATCATGTCTAAAACTTAGACCAGTATAATTAATGATAATAAATTATATATTGACAGTTGCATTATATTACAATTACAGTTTTATATCAATATTGTAAGAATTAAATCTCAGTTATCAAGATCTATTCATTATAAAAGATCAAAACTATTATTGCATAGAATTTTTTTAAAAAAATGTTTAGAAAGAGCTGAAATATAGAAAGTTACATGTTATTTTACATCTACTAGTAAAAAATAGTACAAGACATTCTAAAATAATAATTATTATATGTGTAAATATATCAACAACATACTGATAGGAATAATTTTAAGAACACTAGTTAAGCTTCTCACCTTAGTTCATTTACTATTAATAAGGAATTGAGATGTTCGGAAATCTTGCACATGTGTGAAAGTATTATTTCTGAGTTGTTTCTTATCTATGGCTAAAATTACATTTGGTCATGGAAATATTCTTCCATAAAGTTAACACATATTAATTAGCAGTGTAGTTCACACTTATTCATATAGTGTTACTTAGTTTGCAACTAGCTGAAGGCTAGGAATATGCATAGCATAGTAAACATATTTCATTTAGAACAGGAGTGTCAAACTGGCGGCCCACAGGCTGGATGCGTCATGCACAGGCCACCCCCACCTCAGCTCCGCAATGGGAAAAAAGCCACGAAACATCACGTGATGGCAACGTGACACTGCAAGTTTGACACATGTGATTTAGAACAAATGAGCCCTAAACCTAGTACAAGTGGAAGAAACACACAATAGAATTTGTGTCTGTTACTCTAAGTCAGGGGCCAGCAACCTGCGGCTCTGGAGCTGCATGTGGCTCTTTCATCCCTCTGCTGTGGTTCCCTGTCACCAGTCGGCTCCACAATTGATAGGGCTTTCAGTTAGGACAGGTGGAGGAAAAAGGATGCTGCACTGGGAGGAAACTCTATGGTGGGGGAACCGGACTTCCGGTCAGCTGCAGAATTGAATGGGGGGCTTCCAGTGACGACCTTTGTGGCGCTTTGAGTATTTAAGGTTGCCGACCCCTGCTCTAAGTTGATATTTTCTGTCCTCATAAAGAATATTGTTGAGTGAAATTAGTTTTTCCTGGGGGGAGGGGGATAATGTAATAAGCATTTAGAGAACATATTTAAAGAAAGAGAAAAGTACTATCTTGAGAAATTCAGCAATTGGACCGAGGAAAATCTTTTAACAGATTTTTTTTCTTACCTGATTTTTTTTTTTTTTTTTTCCTGGTTTTCCCCTATCCCAAAGCAAGTATTTTTGGGATGGTTTGGTGGGGTGGGGTGAATTAAAAAAAAAAAACAAACTTTGACTAGCTTTCTGTAGATTAGATAGCAGTTAGCCTATATTGTTTCCTCACCTACTCTTGCAGCATGGTCTTACCCACATATAAGCTTATCCTTTGCTTTAGGTTTAGAATGATGTTGGAACCATTGTTTTTCCACAAACAAGTCCATGTGACTTGTTCATCAAA